GCAGGCATTTGTACCATCCTGGCTTACAATATGATGGGAATTCAACCCATATCTTATATTTCCATCTGTTAATGGTTTCCAAAGCAACAGTTTCCTGTTATTCACTAATTCTGCTGGATACATGTGTTCTCTGTACTCTAATACTGGCTTGAGTTCCTAGTATTTGGACTTATGTTTTGGAGGCAGCTTCTTATAAATGCAATATTAAAAATAATGCTGTACCCACTAATATCTACCCTATATTATGCTTCCTTTATATGGCACTCAGTTTGGAAAGCAATAATAGCATTGTTTTTATAGTGTTTTTAAAAATATAAGATTAATATCTGCTACCTCATTTTTTTTATCTCATAGTCCTTGGGGCTGGGGTTTAGTCTAAGCAATTTGTCTAAGCTTTCAACGCCAATCACTAGCATAATGGGAACTTTTCTTCTAAGTATCATGCCCTATCCAGGGCAATCTCTTCTAGCCAAGAATTCCTAAAGAAAGATTCCCTGACACATCTCCACTAGGAAAATTGCACTTCAACGGCCTATTAGACTGAAATGTTCAAGAAAATTTTCTTCATGTTGACCTTGTTGGGGGGTGTGTGTGTGTGTGTATAATTTAAAATTTTCATTCAAACAACAAAACCACGCCCCTTACTACTGTCTTCTTTTCTACTTTCCATTTGCATTTAGTTTCTTTATTTCCTTTCTCTCCATTCATGGACTTCCCCCCCCACCATGTTTATCTGGAATCACAGCACCTCTCTTACCAGTGAGGCAGCTTTTTCCAACTAGGTGAGCTCATGCTGCTTCCTGGATACTGAAACAGCCCAGTGTGACAGTAGGACCATGTCTACTTTAAATGCTCTACCAATTCCACCACGTGCCACATTTCTTCCTATGAGTCCTTTGGGAAAGGAGGTACTTTCTTTGTAATCACAGGGTGAGTGAGTCCTAGACTAAAACAGACCCCATAAAGAGATGCATGCATTCTCTGAGTTTCATATGCTGGGTTAGTTATTCCTCCCTTGGGTTCCTGGAGCACTTTCTATTTACATCCATTATATTGTATTTATCACATTGCATCCAAATGTATTTTTTTATCCACTCATTAAATATATATTAATGTATACCAGGATGAAAACAGAAAAATAACCCTGTTCTCAAAGAGCTTCTAATCTACCAGGAAAAAAGAGACATGACATTCCACATATCATGCGTTTTTGATAGAATGTTAAGAATCATGGTCCTTTCTAAAAATGCAAGATTTAGTCCCACCTGGGAATCAGGAGAAAGTTCCCCAGAAACAAATAAGAACTGTAATGAAGCTATAATCATGAACTTCTTTATAGCACCTCACAAAGATGCTTTTATTTCTTCCTTAAAACAATCTTGTCAGAATTTTTTTTAAATATACCCACATAGTAGAAAATAAATTAAGAGGCTTAGAAAGGTAAAGAAACATATAGTGAACCTGAAAACTATTTTCAAAATTAAACATCCCAAACTCAAACTTTAAAGTGCCCTTCCAAAAAAAATATTAGAAAATCTGCTATATTGGTCTGGGCTATGTGGTCTTATATATGAGTAACCCAGTAGAATGGGTGGTTTCCTTCTTACATTAAACACACAGTCATAGTCTTGTTACTACCTTCCTAAGGAATGGGGAAATCAACTCAATAATTTTCTCTTTTCCTCATGCCAGCAGCACACCTCACTCCACCTCTTACAACACAAATCCTGGGAAAAAGCAGAGTCCACCTAAATGTTAGCATCTCCCTCAGGGCAGGCTTCTCATGTGAGGATAAAATAGAAGAAAAGATTGTGACAGTCCTGGAATTGAACACTCTCAAGTGCTTGCAATCTGATCCTGTGTCTGTGTCTCCTCATTCGCCGACGCCGTCCTTTCCTACGAGAGACCCACCCCGGCTGGAGCTGGACTCCGGCAAGTGGCGCCACAACGTGGGGCTCGACTAGGTAAGCCTTTCTACAGGGACGGACAGGACTCTGCTCGTGGGTACTGCAGACCCCTCTGTGAAGGAATACAGAGTAAGAGTGAGCAGAAAGACAGAACTTAGAGAAGCTATGGGCCATAATGGGTCAAAGGAACGACGACTCTTATTGATATTATTAAGCATATGATTGAAAAAAGAGGTGTTAAGGTTACTCATGCTCAACTGGCTAGATTTTTGACCTGTGTAGAGACCTGTTGCCCTTGGTTTCTGAAAGATGGTAGTCTCGATATTAGAACATGGAACAAGATAGGGGAGGAAATGCGGTTATACTATTCTAACCATGGTCCTGAAAATGTACCCGTGGAGGCATTCTCTTTATGGACATTGTTAAGAGATATGTTAGATTCTTTGCCTAGCTCATAGGCTTTACACAAAAAATTACGGGAGACACATAACGCTGCCCCCACTGAAGAGACACCTCTATTACAAAAATCAGCCTCTCAAGTACTGGTAATAAATGAAATGAAATCAGAAGAGGAGGACAAAGATAACAAAAGAGTTGAAGGGAGAGACGATCAATTGTCCTCTGAAGATGAGGTAGCCTTTGAGGAGGAGGCTGCTAAATATCATGAACAAGATTGGGAACTTTTTGCAAATGCCACAGCCCCTGAATGCGGCTCTGTGATTAATCTACATAGACAGTTAAAAGTTCCACAGAACAAGGCCTTAGTTCGTAAAAAACCCTTGCCACCTATTAAGAATATTGGCTTTAAGGGAGCAATACAGGAGGCCTTGAGAGATGGGGATTTAACCTTTAAATGTTTTCCAGTGACTTTTGATGATGAATGGGACGAACCTCAGTGGGAACCACTCCCTTATAAGGTCTTAAAGGAACTAAAAAAGGCAGTTTCTGACTATGGTTCTACATCTCCTTATACTATGCAGTTGGTGGAGGCAATTGCTAGCCAGTGAATGACTCCTTATGATGGGCATCAAACTGCCAAATCTTGTTTCCCTGCGGGGGTATATTTACTTTGGAAGGCTGAATATAAGGAGTTGGCAAAACAACAAATTGCTATTAATAGAAAGTCAGGTCGCCGCTCCATAACATTTGATATGCTTATGGGCCTAGAGGAATGGTCACAAGCCCGTGATCAACTACATTTATCTAAGGAGGCTCTCAGCCAAAGCTCCAGCCTAGCTGTTAATGCCTGGAGACACCTACCTGCTGGAGAGGTAAAAACTACAGGCTTAAGTAATACCAAACAAAGTCCAGAAGGACCTTACCAGGTCCTACCCACTGCTCATACTCCGACTGGAGTATTATGGCAGGAGGGCCCCTTGGAATGGGTTCACCTCCCCGGAACCACCAAGAAGGTCGTCTGTGCCTATAGTACCTTGGTTGCCCTATTAATCATTAAAGGAAGAACTAGGGGTGTTGAGCTATTTGGAAGAGAATTTCAATCATTAACCCTGCCTTATAAAAGGGAGCAACTTGATTATTTATTCCAACTGGATGATGACTGGCAAATTGCTATCCAATCTTTTACTGGAACTATTCAATATCATTTGCCTTCCAACCCCCTACTTCAATTCTTAAAAGAACAATCAATTATCTTTCCAAAAATTGTCAACTCCTCACCCTTAGCTCACCCAGCTGCTCTCGTCTTTACTGACGGCTCCTCAACCGGAAGAGCAGCTTATGTCATTAATAACCATAAAACAGCTGTACAAACTACTGAAACTTCAGCCCAAAGAACTGAACTCTTTGCGGTGATAGAAGTCTTTAAGACTTTACATGACCAACCATTTAATCTTTTCACTGATTCTCAATATGTGGCCAGGCTGTTCCCCGTTATAGAAACCGCTATTACAGCTCAAAACAAAACTACTATTGCTCCTCGCTTACAGGAACTCCAAAATCTGATCAGAAAGAGAATGCACAAGGTGTATGTGGGCCATATCCGAGGTCACTCCAAATTGCCAGGATCCCGAGCAGAAGGAAATAATATAGCTGATTTGTTCACCAGAGAGGCAATCTTTACAATTAAAGAAGCAACTGCCAATCATGCCCTCCATCATCAAAACGCAGCCTCTTTAAGAAGGCAATTTCACATAACAAGAGAAGCGGCCAGAGAGATAGTTCGGAAATGCTCTATATGTCCAAACACTCAGCCCTCTCTGCCTATGGGGGTTAATCCCCGAGGCCTTAGACCCAATGATCTCTGGCAGATGGATGTAACACATGTTCCCAGCTTTGGTAAATCTGGCAGATGGATGTAACACATGTTTCTGTGGACACCTTCTCTCATTTAATTATGGCCACAGCTCGCACTGGAGAAGCTTTTAAAGATGTGTCTCAACATTTGATGTTTTGTTTCGCCTATGCAGGAATGCCCAAAGCTATTAAGACAGATAATGCACCTGCATATACTTCATCTGCATTCAAAAAATTCTGTGATTCATTTAAAATCTCCCATAATATGGGGATGCCCTATAACCCGCAGGGATAAGCTATAGTAGAAAGAGCTCACCAGACCTTAAAAACCCAAATCTCCAAACTACAGAGTTCAGAATATAAATATAGCTCTGCGCATCATATACTAAATCATGCACTATTCGTTGTCAATTATCTAAATTGTGACTCTCGGGAGCCTGGGTGGCTCAGATGGTTAAGCGTCTGCCTTCGGCTCAGGTCATGATCCCAGGGTCCTGGGATCGAGTCCTGCATCGGGCTCCCTGCTCCTTGGGAGCCTGCTTCTCCCTCTGCTTCTCTTTCTCTCTCTCTCTCTCTCTCTCTGTCTCTGAAGAATAAATAAATAAAATCTTTTAAAAAAAAATAAATAAATACATTGTGACTCTCATGAGATTTCTCCCATTATGAAACATTGGGAAAATGATGACATTAAACCCAAACCACTGGTTATATGGAAAGACCTCTTAACAGGATCTTGGAAAGGCCCCCATATATTATTAACATGTGGGCGAGGCTATGCTTGTGTCTTTCCACAGGACGCTGACTCACCTATCTGGATTCCTGATAGACTAATCCGACATCATGTCTCGCAGACACCCTCCACTCCCACGTCCGATATGTAGACCTTTACCCCCTATAAATATCCCACTTAGAGAAAGTTGTGCCCGATCTCCAGAAGCTGCTGACCCTCTGATTCCACCTTTACACCGGCTGCGCCTTGAAGAATCGCAAACCAGTCCTACTGCGCCACCTATTCCGACCACACTGCGCAGCAACCCACCAACCTGGGGACAACTGAAACAACTCTCCAATCAAGCACAGCATCTCATGGAAGGGCAAGGTGTTAACGTAACCCCTGAGAATATGTTTGTGGCTATGCTTGCGATCATCTCATGCCAGGTGATATGTGTTTCTGCTTCTCAATATTGGGCATATATTCCGGATCCACCAATCTTGCATCCTACACCTTGGGGATCCTCTTCTATTCGTGTGTTTACTAATAATTCTGATCTTTTGGGGGGAGAATCAAATTCATTTATCTTGCATAAAACAGATGCAAATTTCTCTTTCCACGGGAGACTGGATGATCCTCCTATATGCTTTAGTACCAATACAACAAATTTACCTGATGGCTGCCTTCCCCTCAATTATAGAAGTTTATTAACTGATTCTCCCAATGGGAATCCAAAAACTAGGGATCTTTGGGTACTTAATCTACAGCATATAGGAAGTTATAATTATCAAGGTACTGTGGTCCATGATAAACCTCCTGCATCCATTCCTCTATGTGAGGCCTTGGTAGGAGACCTAAATAATGCTTGGGGCAATATTGATAAATTTAAAGGGTTTCCCTTATGGCATGAATGTATGTTCCAATCTAAAGGATTGCGATTTTCGCCTCGCAACTCTCAGATGTCCATTTATGACTACTCCGTATCTAGCCCAGACCATGACTATAGAAGACATTTAAATAATCAATCGACAAAGTATTATTGGAATGATAATCTAATAAAAAAGCCAGAAAAAATAAACAGATGGTTCTCATTAGGATGGGTTAGTCCTATATTTGTTGCTAAAACTTGGAATAGTACTCAAATATATCCTGAATTATATAGATTATTAGCTGCTACAGGAATGATTTTTCTAAAAAGGCCTAGACGCCCTGACCATATGGAGGTGGTCACGGCATGTGTGGGTCCCCCTCATGCTCTCGTGGTGCAAGGTCATGGCCAATTACAGGTAAACAAGATTAATCATACCTATTATGTATCCTGTTCAAAATGTACATTAACTAATTGCATTGATCCAACTGTTGGACCAACTGTCTTTATAATTGTTCATCAACCTCCTTATGTAGTGTTACCTGTAAAATTAGAAGAACATTGGTATGATGATCCTGGCATGTATACCATTCAACTTGTAGATAAAGTCTTATGCCGCCCTAAGAGATTTATTGCAGCACTTATATTAGGTATTACTGCTCTTATAGGAATCATAAGTTCTTTTGCTATATCTACAACTGCTTTAGTACAGGAAATACATATTGCACATCATGTGGATAGATTAACCCAGAATATTTCAACTGCACTTTATTTGCAGAAACAAATAGACAAGAAGTTTGAGGCACGATTAAATGTTCTAGAGGAAACTATATTATATGTAGGAAATCAAATTCAAAATCTCAAAACTCGGTTAACCACTAGATGCCATGCACAATATAAATGGATCTGTGTCACTCCCCACCATTATGATTCCTCATCTATCCCTTGGGACAATGTCAAAAATCACCTATTGGGAATATGGAGCAATGATAATGTATCCTTGGACTTAAACTCCTTGCAAGAAAAAATTAAAGACATTAGTTTGGCACATGTGTCCTCAGCCACAGCCTCAGAAGTTGCAGATTCCTTTCTTGCCACTTTGCAGAAATACACCTCCACTACTGCCTGGTTTCCATCTCTCATCAATCTAGGTATATCAGCACTAATTATTATCTCCCTTTTGTTTCTCTTTCCAGTCTTTGTCAAATTACTAAGTAGAGGAATAAAACAAATTCATTTGGAATTGAAGACTTTGCAACTGAAGGCCAAAAATAAAAAAGGAGGAGATGCTTGCAACCTGATCCTGTGTCTGTCTCCTCATTTGCCGACGCCGTCCTTTCCTACGAGAGACCCACCCCGGCTGGAGCCGGACTCCGGCACTCAAGTAACCCCCTCTCCCCTCAAATGAAATGAGAACCTTACCCTGGGAGATCATCTAGGTGAATCAGCCAGTTCCTCAGATAAATTACAGATTTTATTAAAAAAAAAACAACAGACTTTAAACTTGAGGAATATGGGTTCCATCCTAAAATCCTAGCTCACTCATACATCTTATTGATATAATCATTTTTAAAATCCTGTCACCACCAACATCATCAGTCTCCCAGAGGGCCCCACTGTTCTTTCCATGTTTCCTGCCTCACTTTTCATTTTATTACTAAGTACAGTGACTTCTTGTCTACACTGTCATTCTATCTCATGGCCTTGACTGGGAACACTACCCTAAAGTAAAATTGGTCATCAGTGTAGACCTTTTTTTTTTATTTTTGTAATAAGGTGTAGACCTTATTACAAGATTATACATAGTAATTAGAGAAAATTTAGGTAAAAAACATAATATGGAAAGGGAATCAGAACAAGCCATAATAAAATCACCCATATTATCAATGAGAAATACCACTCACAAATATTTTGTTTGACAAAACGACTGTTACTGATTTCCATCATGGGATTATGGAAAAGGTTCTGGTTACCACCTATCAAAGAATTTTGTTTCCTTCTCCTTCCCTGAATCAAATATACATAGGATTCTGATGATGGTTTAAGTAATCTTTTACTGAGGGTACAATTAATTACAAGAAGTTAGGGGAAGAAAATTAGAAATTAAGCCTCCCACCCAATGATCTTATTATCTTATATCTCAGCAAGTAAAAAGGCTTATTGCTTAAATCCTTAGAGAAAGTCCACTGGGGCGTGTTCTCGGTCTCTCTCTCCCTTCACTTCTCATGCCCCATGGTCTTCCACTAATATTTTCCTTCCCATTTGGAATCTTTGCACTACATCCTCTACTGGATGTGAGACATCCAGAAAAATAATTCCCTACTTTCTGTCCATTTTTCAGGTTTTCAATCTTAAGAACATTTGGAATTCTCTGAAAGTCAGTGACTTCTTCTTCTGCCCAGTTTCTGCTGGTTTGGGGATGAATGAGGTGATGCTATGACCAGTGTCTTTCCCTACTTGGGGAGAGTCAGTGGGGAATTTCCATTCTGGCAAGTGTTTCACATTTCCCCAAGGTTTCTGAAATCCTTATACCTTATAAGGTATACCTTATAACCATTAGGATTCATTGCCTTGTGAAATCTACCTATCTAAGTAACATGATATTCATCACAACTACTTAATGCAATCTAATCCAATTTTTTTTGGCAAAGTAATGACTCTGACCCAAGGAAACATTTCCATCATCCCTCCCCCACCCCTGCCCCACCACACATGCTACTCAAGGTGATTCCATAAAACTTTCTCATTTTAACTGGAATCACTTTTCATAATTCCTAGGTGTCTTTTTGATGGTCTGAGAAATTTCTAGTTCACTTGTTATTTTCTCCTTTATAAATATTGTCACAACCATCAATTGGTTACCACTGCATTACTTAACAAATGGTAAAGTTCTTAACATTTTGAGAGTCTCTCTCTTTCTCCTATTCTAAACAATGCTATCATCACTCTCCTAGTAGCTAAATCCTTAAAACTATCTTCAATTTTGGCCTTTGAACAGTATCCTAGAAGTGGAATTCTCCATCAGACTATGAACTTTATAAGAATATTAATCCGTATGGTCAAGTTTGCTTGCTGACAGATTATATCAATTTTCATTCTAACAGCTATGTTTGTAAGTTTTTGTTTTTGGAAAACATTGGACATCTTGGCTTGCTAAAAATCTTTGTCCACTTGGTAAGCAAAAATAGCATCTAATTGTTATGATAAATCATGCATTTATAAATAAAATAATGAGGATGGGTTTGGGGAAAAATAATTAAAATAGGATTCAAGTAATGAATGAAATACATTATACATATTGTGTGACTAATAGGAGAAGCATGCATTTTAATATTGATTTTTTTTTAATTCAGAGTCCAGATCTTAATTCTTTTTCAAACAACCTTGTTTTTCTCAAATCTGCTGTTTTAATCTCTAGAAACATTTTATTGTTGCTATTTTAGAAATTCTAGTATGCAAAACTCTACATTTCTATACTTTCATTACAAAGCACGTTTTCAGCTGTGCTACCTTTGTTCGATGGATGATTTTGCTCTTATTTAAAAATGAGGAGGGGGACATTGGGGCCCCCGAAAGTTCAGTGACTCCACCACAATCACATATCTAGGAAGTGCCAGATCCCAGGCTGTATAGGAAAAGAAGAGAATCAGTGCTTCTTTTTGCTCTACCTCCTGGGAAATTCCCACATTAACACTGGCTCAGTGAGTAATGAATAGATTCTTTCAGAAATAGAGTTGTCACAGTCTGATCTAAGTTAGCAAGCTTTCATTTTGCGTAGACAAAGAAAACAAAATGTTAGGCTGGCTTCTCAGCCTGAGGGCCTCAGAGAGAAGGAAGCTGTCTAGAGCAGGGATCCTTTCAGCTACAGTGAGCATGAATTAGCCAACTAGAAAATACATGGTCTGCATGAATATGGGCACATCCGGATTGTTATTTACCCTCACTGGAGGGCAGGTAACCCGATGCGACCACAGACTCTGTAGACTTTCACAGGCAGAGAAGAAGAATGTGGATTTGGATCCTCTATTTGTATAGCACCTTTAAGGCGAGACAGTCCCAAAAGACTTTGGGACCCAATAGTCAAAACTACAGGGAAGCCGTGAAACACTAGCTGCCCATCAGTAAATATGCAGGAGACCCTGGACAAGAGAAATCCCCTCTATCCTTTGCAGTGAAGAGGAAATATCATGAAGCAAGGCTCATAAATAACTACCCATATTTGATTTGGGGGACAGAAGCTCCTGGAACTATGTTTAAGACCTGAGGGCTATAATTTAGTGTTCTGAAAATCTCCAAGGTGGTTCAGTCACAGCCAGGATCCTTTTAGTACTTTGGGGTTACATCCAGCCCCTCTCCTCAGTGTTTTATACAAACATGATTGCATCTGATTTATGCTGAGCAAGAGCAGTAAGTACTGTTGTCCCCGTTTTAGAGGAGAGTAATAGGAACTTAGTACAATTGAAACAAATAATTGACAAATACCATTACTTTCTAATCAAGGTGGATCCTGGTAAAAGGGAAGCCATTTTATTTTCATGTACACCTTGGATTTGGATATAAGAAGGAGAACACAATAGTGGTTGCCAGGGGCTGGGAGGAAATGGGCAGTTCTTGTTCAATGGTTATAGTTTCAACTATGCAAGATGAATAAGTTCTAGAGACCTGCTGTATAACATAGCACCTGTAGTTAACAATACTGTATCATGTACTTCAAAATGTGTTAACAGAGTAGATATGTTAAGTGTTATTACCACAAAAATAATAAGCAGGGATTATGAGGAAACTTTGGGAGTTACTGGATTTGTCTATCCCCTTGATTTTGGTGATGGTGTTATGGGTATGTTGGTGTTACAAAGAAAAATGAAAAAGAATAAAGAACAAAAGATGAAAAGGGAGGAGGAGAAAGAGGATTCTGGAAACCATCTGTGAAAATGTTCCTCTGATAGGCTGGTTGAAGGTCCTTTCAAGCATAAGGTACAAGTAATACCTATTTGTATTTTTGTGTTTCTGTGATCTAAAACCATCATAATCTGCAGAAAACTCAGGTTTTTAGTAGGAAGTTATATCTGAACTGAGCTGTAAATAGTGAGCAAAGTGGAATTGATGGAACTTGCTTCTTGGTAGACCAGTTAGATATTTCTTGAGTCTCGGTAAGGCCAGATCTCAATCTGCCTACATAAAAGACAGTAAACTGTGTTCTGCTGGTGGTTTTAGATGATACATTTTCAAAAGTTATGGTGTAATGCTAGTGCTTTGTTTGTGTAGTGGAACATTTTTTATGAGACCTTTGTAATGATGACAGTGAAGAAAAAAGACGAAGAAGAAGAAAAATGAGGAGGAGGAGGAAGAACAGGACAAGGAGAAATCATTGCATTTTATCGTGGAGAATTTTGGCCTTTGCAGCCATGACTTAAAATTACCATCTTTATTTTAACTCCCCCAACAATAAGATATCATCAAAGAAAATTGGCTGTCAAATTACTTCACAAATTAAACTGCAGCATAACGTATCTCTCTGGGAACTAAAGAAATGAGAGACCTAATTTTTTATGACATTAGAGATCATTTCATCCAACTTTCTCATTTTACATATAATGAAAGTAGTGCTGAGAGGGTTTAAATGTCAGCTGCCAAATTCCACAGTGGATTTGCAGCAAAGTCTTACTGAAAAATAATAAACGTATTCTATGGAGATATAGTGGTAAAATACAACATGAAATGAACTCTGAGAAACAAAATTTGCAAGTATGTCTGCTTCTATTCTCTCATATTTTTCTGTGAACCATGACATCTTTACCAGTTGTAAACGGTCATGTATTTACATAGTGCTTTTCTTGTTCTCCTTTTTTTTTTTTCTATCTGTTGCCCAGAGTAATTTGGAATACAGCTTTCACACTATACCCTTTCACCTCTTTCCCATCTTTGACCAATGAACCTCAGTCACTCATAAAATTTAGGATAACTTGCTCCACAAACAATAATGTGAAGCCTATTGGATCTTATCAGTCACTGAATGCCAGTTGAGATAAAGGATATGGAAAACTCAGGTTGTTTGTTCGATTTCTTGTCTGTGGTGCCACATGACTGAAAAACAGTAGTTAAAATACACTTCAATGTTAAAGTATTTGTAAAAACTTACCTCTTCTAAGTTGGCTATCGCCTAAGATATTACCTGACTACCAAAGTGAATGCCAAGCAGCCAAAAAAAAGTCCTAAGATTTTTT